AAAAAAAAAAAAAAAAAAAAAAAAAAGCCTTGGTGTTTGCCCATTTCATTTTCGTAAGTCCCCCACCCGCCCTCGGCTTTGAGCGATGCACCAAAGTCTGCAATGCATCAAATGTTCCTAACCCCCCATGTCGACAAGACCCTTTGACCTTACGCATCAACCAATCATAATCATCAGCCGGCGTTCGCTTGCCGGGAAATGGTTGAAACACAGCCTCCCGGTGGAACAAATACGGTTTAGCGCCCGATTGGATCTCGACGCCGCCGTGACTCTTCCCGGGTGATGCTCCGCCGGGAGGCTTGGGCTAAGAGTGCGGTGTAAGTCAACAAGATAGACAGACAAAGGGGTGAAAAAGGTCTAGATTGAATATGACGACAGTGGTCTTGAGGCACGAAAGAAACACCCTAATTAGTTATCCCTGCTTTTACAAGTTGGACGAGCTGTATAATGCGTTGGAAAATGCAGTCATCCTGTAAGTGTCGTACTGTATATGCAGCTTGAACCAATCCAATGTGTTGGCTCGTTTTGCTCACAGAAAAGAGGCAACCGAGCACAGGAGGGTCAGCGGGTCAGCCTCCAATTGCCTTACCAAAGATCTTTGAAGTGAACAAAGATTATTGGTGTTTGTGGTTAACGGTTGGATGGATCCATAAAGCTCTCATGAACTTCATGAGAACTATCTTCTGAAGCCTCTAATGACAGCATAGCATGTTTAGACAGTTTATGAGAATTTCACAACATTGCCCACTGAAGAAGAAGAATAAATAAATAATTCAAAGACTGGTTAATACTGTTTCCCCTGTGTCAAAGAGTCTTCAGAAACTGTATCATTGATTCTAAAAGATTCATGGAGCAAAAAACGGATCTGCTGCCTAACGATGATGCTGTGATGCCTAGTTTTCACGCGACAATCATTATCTTGTCTAATAGGAACCGCCAATCTCTACCCCACACGAAAAACCGCTTTTCCACTTGTGTCACGGCGTGGAGAATTGATCCCAGTTGGTTTACGCGGGCTGTGACTCAAGTGGCTCAATTCGTGAGCTGTAAGGCTGATGGCGCGCCCTTAGAGGGTGTGGATGCCTCTTTCTCTAGTACACACCAGTATCACGTTTCGTGCATGCAAACTTGACGCTTATAAAACCTTTCGTCACCTCTCTCACTTCAACTTTCCCTCTCACATAACTCACCTCCATCATCTCTAGCTATATTCAGCATAGACCTCAACTATCCTTCTCTGCAAGGAGAGACCTCCGTTCTCAGCAACAACAAGACTTGTGTGAGTTTAGGATAAGCCGAGAAAGCCCTTTGATTAGGTATTCCTGACATCCTTACTTTAGGTCCGGAGATTTCTTGCTCTCTGTGGACTTGTCATACACTCTTTACAGCATTCTTCGACGTACGTTAGCATGATAGGACCATTTGCGTTCCTGCAGACCATCTCCCACGCCCGAAGCATGGAGACCCTCAACACAACTGGCGAGGCCGCTGGTCTCCCAAATGCGCCCCCTTCACAGTTTGCCATCTTGGACTTTCTATTCCCTGGCTTTTCCACCTTTTCAAGTATCGTCCATGCTTATCTCGGTATCGACCTTAACCTCTACATCCCCCTCCTCCTGGTTATCTCCGGTATCATGTTTGCCTGGAACTATATCACTGAGTATTCGTGGAGCATCATCGGCCAGCATCTTATGTCTGCTGTACGTATCCGTACCGATGATGAGATCTACAACATAGTGATGGCCTGGGTGGCAAACCAACGATTCGCCCAAGGTTCTCGACGTTTCATGGTCAACACAAACATCAACTCTAGGAGTTGGTTCTTGTTTCGATGGGATGACGACGACAATGAAGAGGAAGACTCTGGCTCAACCAAGAAGCCCCTCCAGTATACCCCTTCGGTCGGTTCTCACTTTTTCTGGTACAAGGGCCATGTCCTTCTCTTCGAGCGCCATGAGAACCGGGAGCGCTCTGGGTTTCTCACCTCGAGCGAGCGAGAGGAGCTGTCCATCTCTTGCTTCGGCCGCAACCCCCGTATCATCAAGGAGCTCCTTGTCGACGCTCGTGAACAGTATTTGAAGAAAGACGAGAAGAAGACCATCATTTACCGTGGTTCCCTTGGCCAAAATGGTGGCGATCCTACATGGCAACGATGCATGAGTCGAGCCAGTCGCCCCATTTCCACGGTTATCCTCAACGAAAAGGTCAAGCAAGACGTGATTGCAGACGTGACCGACTACCTCGACCCCAACACCCGTCGCTGGTACTCCAACCGCGGTATCCCTTACCGCCGTGGTTACCTTCTTTACGGCCCACCTGGAACCGGAAAGAGTTCGCTTAGTCTGGCCCTGGCTGGGTTCTTTCGCATGCGAATCTATATGGTCAGTCTAAGCTCTACCATGGCCAGTGAGGAGAACCTGGCAACCCTCTTTGCCGAGCTCCCTCGCCGTTGTGTGGTACTTCTGGAGGATATTGACACTGCTGGTCTCACTCACACTCGTGAGGATACAAAGGGTGAAAACACAGAGGAGGCAGTTGTCCCCGTCACCACCGCACCCGCCAAGCCTGGTCTCCCCCCTACTACAGCACCTGCGCTCCCCGGTCGACTTTCACTATCTGGACTTCTCAATATTCTCGATGGTGTTGCCTCTCAAGAAGGACGCGTCCTTATCATGACCACCAATCATCTTGAGAAGCTGGACAAGGCTCTTATCCGCCCTGGCCGTGTCGATATGATTGTCGAATTCGGTCGTGCCGACGCTGATATGAGTGCCTCTATCTTCCGTGCCATCTACGCCCCTTATGAGGGAGAGGGCGCGCCTGGAAAGGATGTGGAAATCCTGGAACCCGAGGAGGCTCAGAAGCAGGCTGCATTGACTGAGAAGACCCGTCAGGAGACCATGGAGCGAGTTAATGTTCTTGCTGATAAGTTCGCTACCAAGATGCCCGAGCTCGAATTCAGCCCTGCCGAAATCCAAGGATTGCTTCTGAAGCACAAGCGCAACCCTGAGGCCGCCATTGACGCTGTTGATGAGTGGGTGGTTGAAACTCGCAAGGAGAAGAAGCAAAAGGAAATTGAGGATGCAGAGAAGCGACGCAAGGAGGAGCAGGAGGCCCGCAAGGCGGAAGCTAAGAAGAAGCGTAAGGAGGAACGAGCAAAGGCGAAGAAGGCCAAGGCCAAGGCCAAGCGAAAGAGCAACGGCGAGAGCTCTGGTTCCGACTCTTCTGATTCTGATACCGAATCCGAGACTGAAAACCGCACCAACGAGAAGAAGGATGAAAAGAAGGACGACAAGAAGGACACGGAGAAATCTGAAGACAAGCCCAAGGAAGCTGAGGAAGAGAAGAAACTGGAGGTTCCAGATGAGGAAGCAAGTAAGTCCAAGGGAACTTCTGATTCCGGATACGATACCCCCAATACTGCTTCGTAATCATTTGCATAAATGGGAGAGTCTGATAGAGAATGCATACAGCGGCGTTGGATGGAAGTTTTCTGTATCTGTCAACTTAAGAGATTGATCATCTTCAATAGCGTCAGCGTCACTTTTTTAAAATACACTTAATAGTCATACTGCAGTTTGTCAAGTCTTTCCTTTTTCACAGTGACTCGTATATCACAAAAGTTTGCACAATGATAGTCCATCCTGTGAGCTATGCAACTTTCATCAAATCTTAGTCAACGACTTTTGCGGAGAGTTCCGTGTACTTCAATCTGTCTCCGTTATCACCTCCATATGAAGGAAACATCAGCTGAGCGAACACGAGAGCGACAGGCATTCTCACCCCGGCAAAAGATTCGAGATCGATGTCGCTGAACCAATACGTCATGCCAGGGGCAGGATCTGGGGTCGTTTAGATCCTTCCGGGGTTGCTTGGACCAAGAGATAAGGAGTAATTGAGAAGAGGAAGAAGATGAAGGCTGTCTAACTTCTGGAACCAAGAGTGACCGAACAACACGAACCATGTTGAACGGTCGAATTCGCAAAAGGATCCAAGTGTCTCAAGATGCCACTAGTAACGTGCCGTTGCGATGGACCTTTACCCATGCAGGTCCCTGCGATGATGCACAAAAGGGATGCGATGCGGCTTACAAGGCTAGGAGGCTAGGTAGCTTTGAGAATGATCGACCCGAATAAGAGAGCGCAATCCGAAGACGGGTGGCACATTTACTGTAATCATTCTTCAGCTTCTCATGGATTCCTTTGAAACATCATAATGCATATGTTGAAAATCCTTCCATGAGGCGTCAGAGGGCGATAGTTTTGCCATCCCCACGGCCCATGTCCCAAAGGTACGTAGACGCTAGGTGGATACCATCCAGGTTCCACGACAACCGACCCCATCCGAAAATCTTGAGCGATAATCAATCAGGCCTGATGGTAGTGCTGAGATGTAGGAATCTGCATGTTGATTATCTTAGGCCGAATAGCGGCGGACTTGGACACAAAAGTGTGCCAAAGTCTTGGAGGCTAGCTGTATCAGACTTAGGACGGCGGTTTTGACCCACGCCGAAGAACGGAATGCGGCGGATCTTATGCTGAGCGATTGATAATGAAGTACGAGTTGACGTCGTCACAAGCCAGGGATTGTATGATGAAGAAAGTTGCACATGAGGGACAAACCGGAACATGACGCTAAAGACGGGGCACTGCGTGGGACGCAGTCGATAAATTTCTCATGGCCATAAGCGTAAGTACTCTCCGAGGGACTGTAGATATCAGAAAGTTAGTTGTTGGCGAGAGTCCTGGTCAAAGCCGAGAGGTATGAAGGAGATCAAGAAATTGCTATTAGAGGGTACTAGAAGACAAGGCGTGGTAGATAGAATCAGTCTGAAGTTGGTTATCGAAACCACATCATGACCGCCTCATTTAGGATATCCTGCGTGGAGGAGTAAAACTACTAGTCACAGATGGGGTATACTTGCAAGAAGAAAACACTAAGCCATCCATCCACGCAATTGAGAACGCAAACGGCAGATGGACCCGAAGAACATGAGCACTGAGAGAGTGGGACAAATTGAGCGATTCCAGCGAAGTCGTTAAAAGTTCGACCCATGTAGCTGTGCATAGTCCAATGATATGGATAGTTCTAGTGCTGACATTGTTGTCTCATAATAATACGATGATATGCAAGACATGATAGACATCGAGAGTCTTGATAGTGTTGTATTGTGTAAATCGAATGCATGGGTGAAGAAGTTGAAGAATATCAAAGCTGTTGATGGGATGAAATGGAACTGTCCAAAAAGGGTAAGCGTGGTGGTGCGGGATTAGAAGCGATGATACGCTGTTGTCCCCTGCTAATTAGCGGGTAGTCCCTGGAAAAAGACGGGTTCTAGGCCACAGCCTCCCGTTTGTGTCTGGTGGAGTTGGAGGTTCGCAGCACCTCAAGAGTGAGCACCTCATCGCAGACATGGACAAGTAATTCCATTGGCCCTGACAAAAACCGGTTTCCTACTGTTATAGATCATGCCCCGACGTCTTACTAAGAAAGGGTGCAAGCCCTTTTCTGAGAGAGTCCTAACAAAGAATTTATTTTCGGAAAGTTACTCTAAAGGGTAGGTAGTGCAGATCAGCTACTGAACTGGGTAGGGTTCCTCGAAACATTGTTTAAACGCCAACAAGCGAAGAGGCCTGCCTACTGTAACTGTACCACAGACCACGCTCTCAACAATTGCTTTGAAAGCCATTAGACGAGCACACGGATTTTATGCCACTGCCCGTTAGAAATACTGGGTATTGAAGGATCGCCCTTGAACTAATTACAGGGGGGTTAATTACCGGATATCAAGCCTTACCAGAAACCCAGGTTCATCATCTACCACTAGCGACTATGTGCTGTCGTGTTCGTGTTTCCAGCAGCTACCGCTACCGCTACCGCAGGCACTCAATTATACCCGTCTAAGTCCCACCAACCAGCAACTAATCCACACCATCCCATCACACACAACAAGACAAGCCCGAATAGGACCGCTGTCAAGCACACCAGGTACGTCTTGGCCCGGCACCCACCGGTTGAGGCTTGCCCCTGGCAGGAGGCGACATGTGCTGCAGAAGCCAGGAGCGGGAAGAGGAGGAAACAAAAAATTCTCGGTTGCTGGAGAGTTGTAGTGAGGCCATGACTTGTTTGTTGACATGATCTCGAGTCATATCACGGTATAGCTCGGTGTTACTATCAGAGGGAGAATTGTCTATTGATCTAGAAGTATAGGTGATAACTAAACAATATACAATTATGAGTATTGTTGTTTGACGCCCAAGCTTCTTAACAAGTTGGTTGTCGTCCATCATGGCCATGATCCAAGGACCCATGACCTTAACTCGGGGTCTACAAGTACCTCAAAAATCATATGCAGCCAATCCAATTACACGATAGGCCAACAGTGCAGCGTCTATCCAGTGGAAAAAGGCAAAGGGCGGTGAAAAACTTGATACCTCTGAATCTAACTAACCCGCCCAACAAGTGAAGGTCACTCGTTTCACCCCGCCGCGGCCACTTACTCACTGAAATCACACCCCGTCTACCTTAGATTTGGAGATCCAATCTCAGTCCATCTCAACCTAACAAGCACCAAGACCACCTACACTCCTACAGAGACTCTACTGCTTGTCCCTGAACCCGCAATCTCGCGCTCTCTTCCGGGTCCCCCCTTCCCTTCCCTTGTCGTCGTCTTATTATAAGATATCTCCACATCCTCTTCTTCTCTCTCGACTTCTCTTCCATCTCTTCTTCTCTTTGTCTTCCTCTTCTTCTTCCCCCACCAACCGTCTCTTTCTCTCCCCAAATCTTTCATCATGTCTCGTCCTCAGAACATTGGCATCAAGGCCATTGAGCTTTATGTCCCTAGCCAGGTAAGCTGAGATATTCCCTCTGCGATTGTTCGCTATCATCACACAATCTTCAATGCCCTCATGCTCTCCTGTTTCTGCTGGGAACTGTTGTCGTTGAATATTGCCCCTCACCAAACTTTTTGGATGGGACAAAAAAAGTCCCTGCGTTATTACTCTCGTGTTCGGGTTCTGGTCGTGTGCCCCTCCATTTCAGATTGTGCCCCTCTATCCCAACACTTGAACGAACGCCTCTCTGATGACACCAAGCTAACCACAATTTTATTTGCTCTTTAGTATGTTGATCAGGTTGAGCTCGAGAAGTTCGATGGCGTTAGTGCCGGAAAGTACACTATTGGTCTTGGCCAGACCAAGATGAGCTTCTGCGACGACCGTGAGGGTAAGTTTCCCCAATTCTTCACCGTCCCCTGAAAGGACGATCTTAGCGCAATGCGCCTATCCTCACCGCGTCCTGGGAAAATCTCATGATGGCATTGGATCACCGCTAATATGCGATTTCTGCAGACATCTACTCTTTCGCCCTTACTGCTACCTCCAAGCTCCTTAAGAACTACAACATCGACCCCAACTCGATTGGTTACCTCGAGGTCGGTACCGAGACTCTTCTCGACAAGTCCAAGTCCGTCAAGAGTGTTCTTATGCAGCTTTTTGGCGACAACACCAACATCGAGGGTGTCGACACTATCAATGCTTGCTACGGTGGTACCAACGCTGTTTTCAACGCCATCAACTGGGTTGAGTCTTCCGCTTGGGACGGTCGCGATGCTATCGTTGTTGCCGGTGATATTGCTCTCTACGCCAAGGGCAACGCTCGCCCCACTGGTGGTGCTGGTGCCGTCGCTCTCCTGATCGGCCCCAACGCCCCCATTGTTGCCGAGCCCGGTCTGCGTGGTACCTACATGCAGCACGCCTACGATTTCTACAAGCCCGACCTTACCAGCGAGTACCCCTATGTTGATGGCCACTACTCCGTCAACTGCTACACCAAGGCCCTCGATGCCGCTTACCGCGCTTACTGCAAGCGTGAGGCCAAGCAGGCTACTAACGGCACCAACGGTGCTTCCAACGGTGACGACTCTACCAAGACCAGCCTCGACCGCTTCGACTACCTTGCTTTCCACTCCCCTACCTGCAAGCTTGTCCAGAAGTCTTACGCTCGTCTCCTCTACCACGACTACCTCGCCAATGCCGACTCTCCTGCTTTCGCCGAGGTCGCTCCTGAGCTCCGTGACATGGACTACGAGAAGTCCTTGACCGACAAGGTTGTTGAGAAGACCTTCATGGCCCTCACCAAGAAGCGTTTCCAGGAGCGTGTCAACCCCTCTATCCAGGTCGCCACCAACTGCGGTAACATGTACTGTGGCAGTGTCTGGGGTGGTCTTGCCAGTTTGATCAGCGTTGTCGACAACAAGGCTCTTGAGGGCAAGCGAATTGGTCTCTTCAGCTACGGATCTGGTCTTGCTGCCAGTTTCCTGTCTTTCCGCATCAACGGCAGCGTTGAGAAGATCTCCAGCGTCCTCAGCATCCCTACCCGTCTTGAGGCCCGCCGCGCTGTCCCCCCTGAGACTTACGATGAGATGTGCAACCTCCGAAAGCAGGCCCATCTCCAGAAGGACTACACTCCCAAGGGTGACGCCTCTACCATCGCCCCTGGTACTTACTACCTTACCAAGGTCGACGACATGTTCAAGCGCGAGTACGCTATCAAGGAGTAAAAGATCATCCTTTGAAGATCTAAAGAATCCTTGCTCGAACAACTTTTTATACGAGACATTTTTCGCTTCTAGACTTGGTTCCATTACAGCTATGGACCGGGCAGTAAGCATATCATGAACATGATGACTTCAATGGGAGCAAACTTAGACGCACAGGGAAGAAGAATACAGCGGATGATGATAGAAGCGCAATTCGCGCAGTGGAGATTGACATCAAGGTCCTCTAATTGAGCTAATAATGATGGGCATTATGGCTTGTGGAAGTACTGGGCTCCGTCTCTCCTGGGAGATTTACGAGGAAGTTTGTCAAGGCCCGTACCATATAGACCTGGTCATTTGGCGCTTAGAAGAGTTTACGATACTTGGAATATAAAAAAAAGTATTTCAATCGATTAGGTTTTCTCTAGCTTGTGTCTATTCTTCTATCAGCCACTGTGTGGTTGTCAGTATATGTGACATCTAAGAACATGGCCTTCCAAGCCATGTTCAGATACTTTTACAACTATCTTCTATTCGTACATAACATAAATAGGGGTATTCGTCTATTTCTCCTCCTTGAACTTCCACTCTCCGTGTCGGTGGAGCATGTAGTCCTTGCTCTGAATGCCCTTCCAGATACCATACAGGCCGCCCAGCGGGGGCTTGCTCTTGAGAGATCGCTTCCACTTCTGTCGTTCTTCCTTTCGCGCTTCAACATCAACCTTGACCTTGTCATGAACAGTAGGAAGTGTCTCGGCGTGATATTTCTTTCGCAGAGCTTCATACCATTGTTGATCGTAGAGCTTCCAGAACTCCTCTTCGTTGTAATAAGTATGAGCATAGAGCCACTTGAGACCTCCAAGCTCAACAAGCTTATCTTCAAGCGCGCGGTTCTTGGCGACAAATTCATCTGGGTCAGAAGGTCCCCAGCCCCAGAGACCAATGTTCAGCGATGGTGGAGTGGTCACAGTTCCGTCAGCGGTAGTTGTGGTCTCGCCAGTGTGAGGATGAAAAGTCGGAGGAGGTGTCTGCTTTAACGGGCAGAGCCAGAGGGGCCAGATGTTGAAGTTCTCAGCAGTGTAGTCGACAAAGGTCTCAGCAGTCTTGTAAGGCAGGCCCAGATCCTGGACGATGAAACGAGCAGACTCGCCGCTACCGTGAAGAGCGCGGTACAGCATGCGAGTATGGAGGAAATCATCGAGGAACCAGCGGAAGAATTTTGTGAAAGGAACACCCTTGAAGTAAGTGAAAGCAGCGGCGCCAACCCAGAAACCACCGCGGTCATAGCGGAAGAAGTACTCAGCGAGAGGGATGTAATCAACAGGAGAGGAAGAGGCAGATTCGGCGGAGACAGTAGGGCCAGCGGAGGGAACGTTGCGAGTGCGGTCTTGGACATGGAGGTAATACCAGGGATCCCATGCACCACTGAAGGTCTGGGGCTTGATATCGGCAGGCTTGTCATCAGTCAGGGTACCAGTAACAACAACGCCGTGGTCCTTGGAGAAGAGGATGCCATCGACATAGTCATTGGAAGGGTTCTCGGTCTCGGCGCGGATACGAGCAACAGCTTCAGCAACACTGCTCGTACGATGATAGGTCGTCTTGACAAACTTCTTAGCTTCTTGAAGTTGAAGCTCAAGAAGCGTTGTCATGCCCAAAGAGCCAACAGCTCCAGCAGCACCACGGAACAAGTCAGCGTTCTCCTCTCGCGATGCTCGGACAACCTCTCCATTTCCAAGAATCATCTCAGCCCAATTGACAGTATCATTGAAGAATCCGTGCTTAAACGAGGAACTCTCGCCAGCTGTGCCTGCAAACCCTCCTCCAGCCGTGATACCAGGAAACTCCATAACAACAGGCGGTACAAGGCCATGCTTCAGCGTCGACTCAACAAGTTTATCCATTGGAACATTGGGCTCGACGAGAGCAGTGCGAGTCGCACGATCGACCTGGAGGACATTTCGAAGGGCACTGATATCGACGACGGGTTTGCCTGTCTGCTGAGGCCGTGTGCTATTCGTGCTGCCGTGGAAGATGCGATATGGCTCACGACGCTCGAAGAAGCCGCGGACGGCTGATGCGATGGTTGTCACAGCCTGCTTGTGGCGCTCCATTGCTGGGGAAGGGGACCCGGGTTCTGAGTCTGGAGGTGGCTTGTTTTGCTCTTGAGGTGAAGCGATCAGCGACATTTGAGATAAAAGTTTGGTGGGTCTTCCCGTGCGGGCCGGTCTCGGGGATCGGAAGCGGTGGAGGCGGAGCCGGAATTGATAATGGGATTGTTTTTAAAAAGAAGCAATTGATGATTACATGGAAGAATTATTGTTTTGGTTTATAGGGCTCGTGGTACGTAACGTGGGTGATGATCCTATAAGTCTTGGCTTATAGGTTCCGAGGGTGCCGGTCTTTAAGGTTTCAGTTGCTGGGCAGCTCATGTAAGTCCGACATCGATATGTCAAAGCGGCACTACTTAAACTAGGATCTCACCAGATAAAAGTGAATATATCATCATTGAAATTGTAATTTCTGCTATCGAGAAGAGCAATTGACGATATGTAAGTATATTCCTAGCGCCTAGCTGTCAAACAGTATCCTGTATGTATCCAATCCCATTACATGCCCAATTGTGTTTTAAAGCGTCGTCAAGTAAAGCCACCATTTACAGCTTAGCTACTGGTGTCTCCAAAATGCGATCTTCTAACCCTGTCTTCTGTAAGACCCTCTTTTGGATATCCTCTTCTGAAGCATCACTCAGCTGGTCAAACATCAATGGCACCTCTTCGCATGTTTTCGCCCTTATCATGACAGCACTCGACTCGATGCTATCGGGGTCTTCCACTACCGCACGTATGAATGATGCCCAGCCGTTGTAGCACCGTGGCGTTGCAGGAGCGTTACGCAGCATCATAGCGAAGCAGTGCGGCATACCTTCGTACTCCTCGAACACCACTCGCACACCATCAGCCTCGAGTTTGCGAGCAAGAAACTTGTCCTCATATGCGAGAATCTCCCATCCTGTGCAAAGGTAAATAGGCGGCGCCCCTTTCCAGCTGCGTGCCATGACGAGAGATGCAAGAGGGTGAGCAGCGAGGTCGTCGGCAATGTACATGTTGCGTCGTGGTGGATTAGCTGGCCAGGCCTCACACGGAGGGACTGTCCGCTTTTCGATGGCCTCCGGCTTGGGAAGATAATCACATGGCGTTGGTGTTGACATCTCCCATGTTGGGGAGCTTTGTGTAATGTCAAGCCATGGAGAGTTGAGTGCTACGCCAGCTGGCATGGGAACCTGACGCAACTCGCCGTGCCACAGAATTGGAGAGTCATGTCTGCGGAGCTCGAGGATGAGTTGGAGTAACGACAGTGAAAGATTGCCGCCAGCGCTATAAACTCCTATGTTAGTACTTGTGACACACTCAACTTAGACTCGAGACATACCTGTCACCAGCAATCACAATATGCTCCGGTTGCACAGGGTCATGATAAGCATCCGGAGGTGGATACAGAAGCGTGAAGTAAGACACAAAAGCGTCAAGCAACGCCGCAGGGAATGGATGTTGCGGCGCAAGTCGATAGCGCACCGAGTAACACCGACCCCCAGTCAACTGCGCCAGCTTTTTCGTTGTAGGACGATGTGTTGCTGGGTCACAGAGATAGTAAGCGCCGCCGTGCAAGTACAAGACTGTTGTTGGCTTCTTGCACTCTTGCATCATGCCGTGATACCTCTCCCGCTCCGACAGGTCAGGCAACGGAGCGCCACGGGCTACACCGCTCCGGTAGCCGGTCCACTCGGCCTCAACATCAACGAGATCGGGAACGGGGACTCGGCAGGTGGAGCCTCCGAGGTGTTCGAGTGTGCTGATGAGGGCATCGCGGATTGATGTCTCTGGAGGTTGTGGTGTGGCATATTTGCTAACCCAGATGTGCCCCTTGATGCCAGAGTCACGGAGTGTAAGTCGTTGAATAGATGATATACTACGGGGAGCTTTTGGTGTGAGAACAACGCGAAGGCAGGCGATGATGATGGCGCTTCGCAGGTCGAGATATTTGGATGAGTCGGAGAGGTTGAGGATGTGTGCTAGGCCCTGGCGGACGATGAGAGGGAGTAATGGAACAACTGTCCGAACGGTCTCAAGAGTTGCTGAGTCCATGGTGGTATGAATGTCAAAATTATGTAGAGTGGAGGATTGTCGCTGAAGTTAGAGTTGTTGATGTGAGTGTGATGTAAGTGATTTAAAAGCAAAGACGAAGTGATCAAGACAACAGATGGGCATGGGACAAGTCAAGGAAGGGGTCGAACTGATATAATCAGAACAACAGAGACTTGCCTGATTGAGACCCAAGTCATAAAGGTATGGGTAATAGGTTAGAGGGAGGGGTAGTAGAAGAGAAGACCAGCTGAGGCAGTTGAAGAGATGTGGTACAGCGGCATCTAACTAAACAAAGAGTTAGGAACCCCCAGGATCCAATTTCAATGATCTCCCTCGAACAGAGTCCAATCAGGGGCTGTCTCTTCCGTTTGGAATCGCGTCAAAGTCCTTGTCCGGAATGGCGGTCTTAGAGATCCATGACACGTCTTGCTTTGCCACTTGTAAGTGTAAGTGGGCTTTTAGGTGTGGTTACCTAGGGCCAGCGTGAACTCTCTGGCAGCTGAAGGGTCGATATTTAGGTCGTGACAAGTTGTTCCTTTTCACTTTTCACAGTCAAATCACAAAGAAATCAGAGTGTGATCAGTTGAAGTGATGCGTTGGTTCAACAAAATGAGCCTCGGCACACGGAATTAGTTCACAACCTTCAAGTGACGTCTACATGGAGTTGCAACCAGCGCTTCTGACATGAATCAGATCCCTCGGCAACAGAATCAGAGTTATATTGCGGGGATTGGCTAGTGAATCTAACAAGACGAATTCTTTTTGCATTCATTTGATACTGGACTACTTTGAGATGAAAGCCTTCAACGGTCAATGCGTTGGTCGAGTGTGGGTTATGAGACTTGTAGGCTCAACCCCAAAATGGTAATTCTTGCGGGAAGCGTCAAGGTTGAGTGCATGCGCGATAGCAAGGGGATGCATGTAAGCGCACGCGAGGTGGGAAGAAGCAAACAACTAGGCGCGGAACTTCAAACAATATTGGTATTGGATCTTGCAGGCTTTTCTGGCCAAATCAATCATCTTGCACATCATAATATCTGTCAGGGTTCGGATTATTTTCGCTTGATTTAAAGAATTATCACAACAGGAATACAATTACAAGAGGGTCAGCCTAAACCAACCTACCTACAAAGATGAATAGTCTTATGGAGTTTGCGAATTCGGCTCAAATAAGTAATGTGGTAAAATTGACAATGGTGATATAACGCTACAATACCAAGCCATCCCGCCACGTAAACACCTCCATTCAACAGACCCGATTATTCCAAAACTATGGATGCATAAATATTGTACAATTATGGTCAAGTATACTCTTCGCTGTTTCAAGAGCTGGAGCTAGCGCCAGCCTTTGACTCGTCGGCCTTGACCTGAGTCGACGATGTATCATTCTGGTTAGCCATGGCCATCTGCCAAGCAGGGATAGACTTCTTGCCGGTCATGTTGGCGAGAGGGGAGGATGAACGGTTAAGTTGAGGAGCAGAGGGGAATGTAGGCTTGGGGACCTCTGCAGCAGGAGTGGTAGTAGCCGATTCAACTGTGGCCTTCTCTCCGTTGGTCTTAGCAGCGGGAGTCGAGGTAGAGGCAGCAGGAGAAGCTGCGCTGGAGCTTCCACTGGCACCGACAGTTCCGGCTGTGCCTCGCATATAGGTGTTCATGGTTGAAGAACCGGTGGTGCTGCTGGGGGTGGTCATGCGCTGAGATACCAATGTCTTGAGACTGGTGAGCTCAGTGTTGATCTCCTTCAGCCGGTTATCAGTCAGGCCCTTTTGGTTCTCGAGAGCCTTAGGAATCGCGTCCTTGAGAGACTGAACCTCGTCACGAATTCGGGTCGCATCGTCCTCCCGACGACGATTCGCAGCCTTGAGGTCGGTCATGACTGTCTCGAGGTCCGCGATCGCTGCGTCCAGCTTTTCGGTTCGCTCCTTTTCAGCATTCTTCAGACTCTCCGTATCCTTCGCAAGCTGCTCAACAAGCGTGAAAGCTCGGTCAAATTGGTCCTCGATCGATTTCTTGTCTTGTTCCAATTTCTCCGGTGTCGGAGGCGCGACCATTGGATATACGTAGCGCTGGTCGCATGTTAGCTTACATCATCAAAATCGCTACAATGACAAGCACGAACCTTGCCTAACTCATAGAGGCCATAAGAGACGCCTCCAACTACTGTGGCCATGATGAACCAGTCTCTCCAGTCCCTACGGGGAGGAGGTGGCGGCGGTTGCCAGGCATGCTGTGGATAGGGGGGATAGTATTGTTGACCAGGAGGAGGGCCGGCGGGAGCGCTGGGATAAGGCGCGTTGGGAGCTGGAGGTGCGCTACCACCTGTTCGTGCCAGCGCAACGTCAATTTCTTCTTGGGTCAGGTTCTTGCTTCGAAGGAATGAGATGCGATTCTCGACAGAGGATGACGCGACACTCGGGTCCTGGAGAACTGCGATGGGTTAGCCGGCGCATTTGTAATGGCTGTATCAGATTGAGCACTGACATTGGGTCTATTCAGGAGTTAGCATCTGCTGGTTATATTCCAATAGCTTTGGTGGCTGGGGGAGTAGGTCAACTTACTGCAGAGGATACGAGATCCTCGCGAATAGCCATGATTGATGTTTAGCCGTCAGACGGCTCTCACCACATAACCTGAGTCGCAATGGGAAGAAGTTGTAGAAGTAACTCCTGAAAAGACTTGAGCGATGATGATGGAAACGTTAAATGCATGTGCTAGTTCAGCTTGCGGAGGCCGGACCGTGGAGTTCAAGAACGTGGAGGCGTGGAGTCGGAAGCGTGACCGATCTGTACCGAGGCTTCTCCCAATTGACCTGCCGAGATACGTACCCCAAACGGTTCCCGTCTTTCTTTCCGTCAGTTTGAGGCTGCAGGCGCGATCACGTGTAATCTTAATTGAATATCCACTTTTGCCAACTCAACCGCTACTCCGCCAGAGACAACACAGAGATTATCGACCAATCAGGTTGAGCTGATGGTTTGTTTACTTTCCTCCCGAGCAACACTCTGCAACGCCTAATCTCCCCTACCCTACTCTCTTTACCTTGCTTTACGCCATTCTGCATTTTCACATCCCACTTTACATCAACACCATTATCACGACGACCCCTCCGCACATACAACAACTCACGATAGTCGCCTGCTTTGCGCATGCACCTCATTGCAGTCGCGTGTTTCCCCTTTCACTAGATCATGTCCCAAGATACGGGCCTTTGGAGCGTCCGTAGACCTAGAGAGGTACGAATACTG